TTGCAAGCCAACATTTATTGGACATTTTACTTGTGATAGGGACTGTCAAGAGCTTTTAATCTCAGAAAAGCATTATTGTTGTCCCAAACTAAAGATAAGTAAACTAAGGCTTAATTAGCAAAAAGTAAATATTTATCAAGCAGAACCAGACAATGACTGTCTCAAAATATCCATGTAGCTGTTCTTTATAGTATTGAAAGTAGTGTTTTCAGAGGGGAACAAAAAAGTGAGACTATGTTAATTGTTTGTGTCATAAATTGGGAGAGGAGGTACAGAGTTGCCTCTTGAAGTTGTTGGCAACCAGGATTATTACTTTAAGCAGGCCAAAGATTGACATCCTCATGCAAAAGAGTAGGAAAAAAAAAATCATCATGCCCAAATCTCTTCAACAAACACGTGCTTTCCATATGAGCCTGGGTGATCCAGAGCAGGGGTTCAGCACTTTTTCTTTAAGATTGGGTTTCATTCTGCTAACAGCATGTTGGCTGAGTGCCCACTAGCAAGCAATTAAGACTTTGTGCTTGCCTGCATTTTAGTAGCTCTCCTCATGAAACATGCAGCCACATGGGAGCAGCAGCTTTGCCAGCATGGGTCACGGTCTGGGAGCAGCCTGAGGAGAGGGCTTCTACACTAGAACTCGGTGTCTACTGGAGACACTAGACTCAGAGTGTTCTTGTAGTTGAGGTGTAGACAGATGATTGATTGACTGAGTCTGTGAGAGAAAATGGAGAAGGGAAACATTAAGAAATGAGAACTATGGGGCCTCCCTGGTGGCACATGGGTAAGTCTCAGTGCTGTCAAGCTATTGCCAGCCACTGTGGCATGAGTTCGATCCCCGGCAAGGGAGGTGATCCACATGACACAGCCGACCTCTCCTGTCTCATCTGCTGCTCCCCTCAGCAGTGTATTTATTTATTTATTTATTTATTTTTTAAATAATAATTTTTTTTTATATTCCCCATACAATTGCAACCTCCCCATTCTGACCCCAATCCCTCCCCTCCCGCCCCCCACCCCCAAAAAAGTGTCTGTTTCATAGTTTTTTGTTGATTTTGATTTTCACTTTCTTATAGTTATTCATCAGCAGTGTATTTCAATAGATCCGCCTGTTCTTCTCCCCACTCTGTGGCTGGTGAATCCTCTCAGCCCCCACCTCTGGCCTACAACCCAGTTCTTGTATGCATAAATAAAAATAAATCTTAAAAAGAAAGAAATGAGAACTATGAAGGGATATCAAAGCTAGAGATGGGAGAAAGAAAATGCTACTAAGAAACCCAAAGAGAAAGGAGATTAAATCAATGTTGTAAATTTAAGAACCCACTGGATGAATTAAAAAGACAAATCTGGACTGTTGGTGAATGTTCTAATTTTTTAAAGGCAACATACTAGTGCTGAGCACCTGAAATGTGCCAGTACAAGACTGTTGTTGTAAAGATCAGCAAGACACCATCATATGACTATAGGTAAGAGGGAGTGGAGCCGCCATGCCTGTCAGATAGACTCATGAGTTCAAATAGACTCAAGCTAATGGCAACATTGCAGCCATGTCCTATGCTCAGCCTCACTTTATTTTGTTCCTGTAAAGCATCATGACTTAGGTTGGCCTAAGATAAGCTTAAAAAAAAAATTGGAAAGTTTTCTATCAAGATGAAATAGTCTCCTTGGGAGAGGGAAAGCTTTTCAATTTTAGACAATGAAATAGACCAAATCAGTGGTTTCAAATCTGATTGATTATTCAAAGACCTCCTGGGCATGATTTTACAGTACAGATGGCTGCTCCCCACTCCTGGAAGTTCTATTTTAATAGGTCTAACCAGATATAATCTCATGATGTAAACATTGCCTTGAACATTCTAAAAACTGAAATCACAAAAACAGTATTTGCCTCTTCACAATTGACTTTGCTACTATCTTCCCTGCTACATCTGTATATAGTCAAATGTATAGAAAACTATTCCTCAAATGATTACTATGGACCCTTAAACAATCATCCGGTATGCATGAAAGCAAATGAGCACATAGTATTTTCATAGGTAGATCTATTGCAATAACTGAAGTATGTGTATGCATGTAATTAAAAATAATTACTTGAAAAGCAGAGTACAAGCCATGTTTTTATAGAACATCAGTGTCATCTCTAACTAGGTTTATTGACTTTATAGGTCTTTGGAAGACATACAGATATTGTAATTTTCTGAAAGTCATGGTGTGGATCAAAAATAATTCTTTTATGTTTTCAACATACTCAAACATGTGAATCATAAAAATCCTTGGCGGGGGTGGGGGTAGAGGGAGTTGTGTAACAGGTTCCACAGTGTTCGGCAGTGACACCGTTGGAGAGGTGATGCACAGTTTTGACTAAATATCATACTTTCACCACCAAATTTGAGACCACAAAGTTTGAAAATATAACTACTAACAATCACTAACAACTTTCAAAGTAAGTGCCTCTGAATGAAAGAAACACACACACATACACAAAAAGAAGCTACAAATAAGAAATAGTGCAAGGCTCTTTATTGCAAGAAGTAGGCAGTGACTTCGGGTAACATAAACAGGACTTCCTGGAAAACAGAAGACAGCTCATAAAAGGTTTAGGAAAACTGAAAATTGAATCTTTGAAATATAGACAGGAAAGCATAAGTGAGAAGCAGAAACCGCAGCTATGCAGCAGTTGGAAGAATTTGGATAGGACCTTGCTGTGAACATCACTGGCACTACACTCGGGTACAGCCATGCCGGCCAGGCCAGTGTAAATCAAGTTTCCAAAGTCATTGGTAGAAACAACAGTTAGTACAACCAGATTTGTATGCCTCTGTTCAAGCTCCCAGGATTAATGGAACTCCTGGGAGTTTCCCTTCTGTGACTTCCCTACAAGCACATGATGAAGAATTCATCTCAAATTAAGATAGGGATGGAAGTGCATGAGAAGAGTAATCTACAATCCATCACTTGCATCTCGCCACTGTGAAATCATTGGTGGTTCACGGGTGGGCATGTTCTCCTCTATATAATCAAAACTCTAACAACCGAGGAACACACATTTATGAAGGTTGCGTAACGGGAAACTCAGTTCCTAAGAAGCCCAAATAGATTAACTAGGTCAGGTAACCACCTTTACCTGCTGTTTGTTTTCTTTTTCTGAGAGATGCACAATTATTATGTGTGTACATGCATGTGTGTGTATATATATGTTACCATGGCTCCCCAACACCAGCCACTGCTAGCACGCGCTTGCATACTCTCTCCTCCCTCCGTCACACGCCTTCCTTCTCCCCCCCCCAGTTACAGAAACACAGTCAATAGAAGATAAGTTGAGGTTAAATGCTGTGGAAGTCAGGCCTGCCCTGGTGGCGCAGTGGTTGAGCGCTGGGCTGCGAAGCTGCCCGTCAGCCTCTGCAGTACCGGTTCGATCCCCGGCTACCGGCAAGGGTCCCACATGGCGCACAGACCTCTCCTGCCACCCACTGCTCCCCTCAGTGGGAGGAGGAGGAGGTCTATTGTGTGTGTGAGAGTGTGTGTGAGAGTGTGTGTGAGAGTGTGTGTGAGAGTGTGTGTGAGAGTGTGTGTGAGAGTGTGTGTGAGAGTGTGTGTGAGAGTGTGTGTGAGAGTGTGTGTGAGAGTGTGTGTGAGAGTGTGTGTGAGAGTGTGTGTGAGAGTGTGTGCATACACATACATGCCCCATGGGGAATATAGCAAAAACAATAGTTACATCAATAACAGAATTCCCACCTCCAGGGGAATTCACTATCTTATTTTGGAAATAAATTTTTAAACTGGCCCAAAAGATTACTTAACTTGAATTAAAATGCAAGACATTTCAAGAAGGAAGGTACATGGCATATATATATAGTATCATGATATGATTTTTCTCAACATAAATCTAAGTATACACAGGTGCATATGATCAGGTACCATCACCTACTTAATCTCCCCCAGACTCTGCATTTTGTAAGGATTTTGCAAGCACCCTGTGCAGAGAAACCCATTTTTTTTCCTGTTTGGCAAAGGAAGCTTTATAGAAATATTTGCAATATTGTGTGCTAATCCTTTCACAAGTCACTTTGGTGTGGCAAATATTTGTTCTAGCCATCTTTACTACGGTTACAAAATACATCAATCTGTTGTTTTAACCTTTTGAAAATAACCCTATGTCTTCTTGAAGGAACTAAGGAGTCATTGATGAAAACTTTTAAGTTTTCAACTTCTTTGCAATAAGGTGCCTGGAAGAGAAACCAGCACTTTACCTCGAGGGAATGGATTAAAGGGGGCGCAGTTCATCTCACTTACTTTCTTGGCTCATCACTTTATGGATATGAGGGACCTGAAAAGTAAATGGTGGTCAAAAAGAACAAACACATTTATTAGAGCAGTTAGAAAGACTGTTTTGATATTTGCCAAGTTCCTTCTCAATAACATGTTTGGCAGCTACCAAATGACATGGCCAGCCCAGAGTTGATTTTGACGAAGCCTCTGGGATGTGTTAAAAAGTAAACCAGAGCAAATCACGTACTGGAAAGCATAACTCAATCAAGGAAAAATGTATGATTAAGGGTGACATGGGTAAGGAAAGCTTTGCCAGAGCTCAGGGTAAATATTTGTATCAGTGTGAAGAGAAAGCTTTGTGACGCTGATGTCAACCAGCTGGAATTTTCATTGTTTATAAACTTTTGTTGTTAGAGTTGGATTCTGGCAGAAAAGGTACCAAAGAAAGAGCAGTTTTCCAGCTTGAAAGTATGAGTTGTGATAAGGCAGCTTGACCAGATATGAATGCAAGATGCAAACTTTCAGTCACTTTTCCAGAATTCTCTTGCCAACAAATAACCTTCTTGTTTTAATCCCACTTTGACACAACTCACCAGGGTTACCAGAAAGATAAGGTTTTGTTTGGTTTTGCTCTGTGTTACAAGGTTTTATGGCTTTTTTGTTCTCAGTAGTATGATCAGAAAACAAGTAAGAATCTATTTAAATAGATTTTTTGTTCATTTTTTTTCCTACAGAACAATATTGTCACATGAATCAGACATCTTAGTGATTGAAAAGAAATGATGGGATTGAACCTAATTTTTGCGTAGTGTTCATTAACTTCATGATGGTAAGCTATTTCGTTTTTACCCTCATTTTACATCATTTCATATTTTTAAACTGAATCGTTTAGCAATTAAAAGGATTTGGTCACTTCATTTAACTCACCAACTATCTCTATTAAAAGGAAATTTGTATTTTCTGACTAAGCTATATTTTATCATACTTTTCAGAAGATTGGAGACAGTGAAAAGTCATAAATCAAATACTTTCACAAAAACATTGGCTCATATAAAAATTTCCAGTAGTCCAGAACAAATAACTTTCACACCAAGAAAGAGATACTGTTGGAGACTGACTCCTAACACTAGTCCCCCCTCTCTAAAAATTAAGTATGTTGGTGGTGCTCCTATTGGCAAATGATGACACTTTGATTTTCCATTCTCAGATTTGGATTTCAGCTAGAAACTTTCTCTGCAGCATAGATACTCTGACAAGTATCCCTTGCTCCTCCCTCAGGGTAGCGTGGAAGCTCCAATCTGCACCACTCAATGAGCGGTGTGTAGTGACAGTCACTGAATAGGAAATAAGAAGTCTCCAAATTCTTATCAAGTTATCCCCTCTTTTAATAATCACATCTTTTAAAAACAGTTCAATCTGATTGGCCTAACACATTGCACAATAAAACTTACATTGGCTCACTGTTTGAGAAGGCTGTATTTCATCCATTCAGTAAAGAGATCAAACTTGTGAGCCCTCCACTTCCCCGCTCCATCTCCTAATGAATTGAAGACTGGCCTTGCCAATGCAGAAACAGAACATGTCACAATCATAACCGAATTACCCAGCTGCACTAAGAATAGAAACTAAGCCCCTGCTGGTGTAATTAAGAAATCTTTTCTTCCAGTCCCTAGGCTTTAGAGACCTGGATCACTAACTAATTCTGATTTAGAATGCTTTTTTTTTTTTTTTTTTTTGATAAGGGTCCCTGTAAAGTAGAAAGTGAACTAAGCATGGAAACTTTTTGCAATTAAATTTCTGAGCTAACACACCCCTCTGGTGAAGTAGAGTCTCTGGTCTAGGAATTAGCCTTCAGAGGTGAGTTTGGGGTGTAGAGATGATGATGTATTTTTAGGAGCTGAAGAAGTGTCAATGATTTGTACCTGAAGTTCACACATTTTTCTTCAATCGCCACATACTCACAGTCAATGCAACTTAAAGGCGTGCATAAAAACATACACCATGTGTAAAGTTAGGAATTCTTACCAGGCAGGATCCCCAGACTGGGACACATAGATCTGAATTACATTAAGTCACATGAACGTAAAAGTGAACAACTTGTCACAGAGTTATTCCTTTCTTATCCCCTGCCTACCTCTCAATGACAGGACATTCTCTAGGTCATTCTGTGTTGTGGATTGGGATCCTCTTGCATTATATTTTAATTAGATGGTCAAATTATTAATGCGTGACAATCAGTCACTGCAAATGTTGAGCTAACCATTTTTCATACATAATGTGTCCATATCAACATTATAACAGCCATATACTAAAGATTGACATGGTCACATTTAAAGAAGCCCTGATAAATATTTGAGTTGAAGAATCTGGGGATTATATTAAGGGGCTAAGAGGTCAGGTCTTATTGCTGGTATTTTCCCACTGCCATGCTGAAAACCACTCAGGCCCTTACTTGCAGGTCCATACTAGAGACTGACCATGGAAATAGTTGGTCATGTATTTATGGTACACTAACATGGCAGTCAACATTTTGTTCAAAGGGAAGGAGTTCAAAATAATTTTTTCAAAAGCCACAGCCACTCCTGGAGCCTAAAGCCACTTGTTTTGCTAACCTAGTATCTCTTTTTTTATGGAATCCTACCCTTTTATTTTTTGGGAATTCTCCTTTCCCTTATTTCAACATCAGGTTACTCTGGAAGGTATTAAGTTAATAGAATTTTACCTGCTGATTTGTCCAGGTTAAGAAAATCACAGTCTTTTTAAGGAAGTTGAGATAAAAATGCAAAACCCCACTTCAGAATGAGTGCTTTCTTGAGTAAAGGAAATAAAACATCAGGCCCCAGGCCTCCCTGATGGTCTGGGGGTTAAGCCCTCAGTACTAGATGGCCTGGGTTCAATTCCCAGCCGGGGTGCTGACCACATGGCATGGCAGACCTCTCCTGTCTCACCATCTGCTCCCCTCAGCAGTGTATTTCAGTAGATCTGCCTGTTCTGCTCCCTACTCTGTCTCTGGTGACTCCTCTGTCTCTGGCCTACACTTAGCCCTTGTATGTATAAATAAGTAATTTTTTTTTTAATAAAAAAACAAACAAAACATGTTTGTCATGGTCTTGTCTCATGCGGACCTGTGATTGAGGCAAAACCAGGCTGCAGCAACAGGAAAGACTGGCAATAGAAGGAGCTATCAATCAGAGTAGGATAGGGAATTAATTTTTGAGGTCCTGCTACTAGCTTTCCTAGGCGTGACTACATTCTTCTGTCTGAGATACTCTGACACTTTTAAAACTCTGAAAACCCTACTGCTTAAGTCAGTTAGATTGGGTTTCTGTAGTTGCAACAGCAGTTAGGGATTAACTCATACAACCAATGCCCTCAAGGAAATGATAAAGGAATTTATTGAATGCCTAGAGTGTACTAGACTGTTTACATTAATTATCTCATATGATCCCTTTAGCAATCCTAGAACTTTAAATAACCTTATTTCCATTTTATAGAAGAAGAAAGGGAAGATCAAGAGAGTATCACTAACTTATCCATGATCACACAGTCAGTTACATCAGAGTGAGTCAAAACTCTATCCTCTTTCAAAGCTGTGAATGTCCTTAGAATTCTAGTTGAGGAAGAAAAACTCTCAGATATTTAACAAATAGAGAATATAATAAAATTCTGAATAATACAAGTGAAATATGATTACAGATAAAGAAATATCAGTGCAGCATTAAATAGCAGGAAAAGGATATCAAGATAGATCTCTCTCAGATACAAATGACAGAAAATATGCCAAAACTCACTTTACTTCAGGAACTCTTAAGTCCAAGGATCAGTCTCGTTTCACAGACAATTGAATCCAGAACTCAAAGGGGGTCATCTAGACTCTCCCTTTGCTCCTTGATTCTCCTTTTGTCTTTTTTTGCTTTTTTGTTTGTTTTGTTGTAGTTGTTTTGGCTTCGCTCATAAGGCTTCTCCTAATTAGTGGCCCTAGGCATCTTCCAAAACTTGCAGGACCTGCAAAAATGTTATACTTGTGGCACTGTAAAATGGGGAACTCTGGCCTGAAGTCTATTTCTTCTTCCCTAAAGATAAGCCTATGAAAGAAGGCAGCAAAGGCTCTTAAAGTTAACAGAAAGCTGTCTGGCAGAAATATCCCAGGGTTTTGGTACTGTGTGGCCTAGTAGGCAAGGGGTGCTTTGGAGGGCACATTTGCTTGACTTAGAGAGGGGCACACAGGAGAGCAAGAGTAAACAGCCTTTGATTGGAGGGGCAGTTACCTAAATCTATAATGGATACTTGGTGACACAGAAGCTTTAGCCACACAATAAATAAAAGACAACTTAATATGAAGTTCTGGGGAAGAATATGGGACATAAATAGAAGTCTTACAACACCCAGAATTGAATCTTATAGAACAAACTTAGTTCTCAAATTCATGTTTGACTCAATTATCATTATCAGAAGATTGGACAATGCTGATTAGAAAGCCGGGCTCTAAATACACATCTGGAATTGGTGTTGGGGTTAGCACAACAGACCCACACAGAAGGAGACTGGGTGAATGGGTGTGCTGCTACCCAAAGCTAGGTGATGGATGCTGGGCAGACATAAAAAACAACCTGAGTAGATAAAACTCCATGTAACAATTATAGCTTAAGATATTAAGAACCATTATTGTAATATGTAATGTTAAAATAATAACAGCTATTTTATAATTCTGAACCATGACAAAATAATGACTAACATTTGTTGAGCCTTTAGTATGTAGCATTATTTTGCTAAGGGTCTAAAATATCAATGTATCATTCCATTTACTTAACAAGCCTGATATATAAATGTTATCATCATCTTCATTTTATAAAGGGAGAAACCAAGATTTTAAGAAGTTAAACAACTTGCTTATAAAGGAACACAGCAGGAATTAGAACTCAGAACTCTAACACTAGTATGTTTTTATCAGTCATAATGAGATATATAAATTTTTTCATTTTTTTATACCTTGATCTAATGTTACACATAAAACATATCACAAAAGGCTTGAAGAATCATAATTCTATATCTCAAATTCCATTGCATTGCACGTTAACAGGGTATCTAAGAGGGAAGATAATAAAGGATGTTTTCTCTTGTTCTACCCTAAGATCAAATCACAGGTCTGAGGATTCAGAAGGCTGGTGTCTCACCTGCAAACCTAGAAGTGGTTTTGTTTGTTTGTTTGTTTGTTTGTTTGTTTTGGAGGGGAAGGGAAGAGAAGAGGTTCATTTTGTTTCTTTTATTCATGGTTTTGACTACAAACTTTATAACTAATTTTGCTTTTCCTAGGGAACAATTTGGTTGAATACAATAAGCAAAGTTTTAAAACTCTTTGGAGGATATTCTTATAACTGTGCAATTCAAAACGGGTAGCAAAAAATCTTTTTATATCCTGTAATGTTTTTCCTGTTTTATTTTTTAATCATTATCAGAAAAGTGGTAAGAATCTTAAAATTATTTTTAAATATAATGTCATTTGCAAATAACTAATGTATTCAACGATGCAATAGCAAATCAACCTAAAACTTACACATTGCAAAGTTCTTTTTCCTATCCATGGCCTTTATGTTTCCTATAGGTCACCACTTAATCATATTTATGTATTTTGTATCTTTCCAGTATTAAAATACTAAATATCAAATTAATATTAAAATTAATAAATTAATATTAATCATTACATTTCAGGTTCCCACCTTCCCTAAAAAATTTCTCCATAAGAAATTCTTTTGAAATCAGAGATTTCACACTAATTTAAAGAAGCAGAGGGCAAACAACAGAGGTGCAGGAAGCCTGACCATAGCTACAGGTATTTCATGCCATTTTTCTCTCTGGAAACCTTACAATGTTAATCTCATCTACTCTTCAAAATATGGGAGTGATAGATTGGGTGTCAATAGTTTCTGCAATGTCAGGGTCACAGCTTATTTCTCTGGGTTTAATGCCCTGCAGCCATGACAAAGACTATTATTCCTGATGGACACAGGCATTTGTGAATCAGCCAATTGTCAAAACTCAGGACTGTAGGAGTTAAAGAAATAGAATCCCTGGAATATGCAATAAGTCACTTACTGTCCCCAAGAGCTAGCTATGAATGAAAAAAAGAATAATACCCTTTTGAATTTCTATAGATAGAGGAGAGCATGAGTAGGTGACATGCATATGGGTTTCAGTTCAAACTAATAGAGATGGGAGGGGACAAAATGTTCAAAACACAACAATGAGGGTCTCCCTTGGTGGCGCAGCGGTTGAGCGCTGGGTTGCGAAGCTGCCTGCAGCCTCTGCAGTGTCGGTTCGATCCCCGACTGCTCCCCGGCCACCGGAGGAGGGTCCCGCATGGCGCGCAGACCTCTCCTGCCGCCCGCTGCTCCCCTCAGCAGTGTACTTCTTCGTCAGTCTGCCTGTTCTGTTCCCCGCTCTGGCTCTGGTGAATTCTCTCACCCTCCCGCGCTTCTGACTGTGCCCAGTGCTTGTATAAATAAATAAATTAATTAAAAAACAAAAAAAACAAAAAAAAAAAAACACAACAATGATTATTAATTGTTCTATAATTACATTGGGGAAGAAAACTAATTTTCCTTCTATCCTTCTGAGTTCTTGGCTGAGACCCCTGTAATAAATGACAGACTGATAAGACAAAAAGAAGCAAGTTTATATTAATTCCAAGGAACAAAAGTAATATCTAAAGGGGTGACTTAGAATCAAATGTTAAATACTATCATAACAGAGAAAAGGAAAGAGGATGAAGTCTCTTCAGGGGTGAATTCATGACTTTCAGGAATGATGAATGGACCTTGCTAAAAATGAGTGATAAGAGGGAAGATGGTGTGTGACAAAGCTTGTCTGGGCATGTCCTGGACAAAGCTTGTCCTTTACTGTGACAAGACTCAATCTTCCCTGGTTGAGAAAATTCCCAGGAAGGGGAATGATGGCAACTGAATTCCTTTTAGAGGATCTGTCTTTAGGCACATAAGGGAGTTCAGAGAAAGTTTTTACCTGCATTTGCTGTTTTTCAAGTACATACAGATCAAAATAATCAAAATGCTGAAGTGCCATGTCTGGTGGTTGCATATTCTGCCACCCTTAACTTGATCCAAATTCCCTAAGGCAATTTTGCTCATTACTGCAGCCCACTCCCTGACTTGTATGAGATGTTAAACAACTATGGAATGGGCTTCCTGGAAGAGGTGAGAGAACCAGTCCTTTTAAGATGTATTAAAGCAGATCTCCATCCTGAGAGAAATTAGTGAAGACCACCTTTAAGTCTCCAACTCTATGATTCTCGGAATTCTCAGTCATTTGTCTGATCCCTCTAAGAAAAGGTGGAAAGTGGGTGGTACACAGAATCAGTGGACAACCCTGCAGTTGCTGTGGGCAGTGGGGGGCAGTGCCCAAATCTGGGAACCTTGGAACATCACCCCCACTGTCTTAGAAAGTCTTCAAAATCAAAAGAATGGAGCTTGATGGTCTGAAGGGTAAGAACAGAGCAACAAATAAAGCAAATAAAGGTCCTGCATTAAGAATAGTGCTCTTCTATATTCCCAGTAGAAGACAAGGTTCCCTAAACAAAATAAGAAAATGAAAGAGTAAAAGGAGGCAGCTAGTTTGGGTGCAAAATGAAACAACAAAAATCAAGGAAACAGAAAACAAAGATCTGCGAGGAATGAGAGTAGAGACAGAAGTGGTAAATCAGGAACAAATGGAAAGAGCGTGCTATCTTTTCTGTTGCCCTTTTAACTGAACTTTCCAGTTAAATCTTATTTAGTATCTTAGCAATGTGGTAAGCACCTGTAATTGGTTTATTACTAAAAATCAATGTGAAAACTCACTTGTCTATAAAGGAATTTTAGATATAAGCTTGATGCAAGTGAGCCTTTATGGGACTGTAATTTCTTAATTGGTTATAAATATGTGATTTTTCCTTAGGGGTGTGGACTTCAACCCAGGAATGGAAGCAGTCTTCCTGGAGACTTCATGCTGGGCATGTGTGCTTTGTAGCCGAGGGTCCAGGGCTGATGAGCAGCTCTGAGAAAGTTTTGATGCTTTTTTTGCTTCAGCCTCATCCCCCATGGACACCAGCAACTCCTAAGTCTAAGTGCATGAAGTTAAGCTTCACAGTAAGTCCTCTCTGAAGACGGAGATGCAACTCTAGCTGAAGTGGGCCACAGACTAAACAGATTGCCTCGCACTTGAATTCTACTGTCTTCATACTTCTCTCTGTCTTCTTGCAGAAAGCATTTCAACTCTTATAAAACAAAGAAATAGGGCCTCCCTGGTGGCACAGGGGTTAAAGACAGCACTATGAAGCTATTCACAGCCACTGCAGCACGAGGTGGCCAGCCAGGGAGCAACCCACATTGCATAGCAGACCTCTCCTATCTCACCCACTGCTCCCCACAGCAGTGTATTTCAGTAGATCTGCCTGTTCTGCTCCCCACTCTCTCTGGTGAATCCTCTCACCTACCCACCCCATCCCCCAACCTCTGGCCTGTACCCCAGTTCGTATATGTACAAATAAATCTTTTAAAAAATAAATAAAACAAAGAAATAAAGCAAAAATTGTTTTTTTTTCCCATACCTTCTACCCATATAAGCTCAGGAGACAGCCTCCCTTTTGCCCTGGACTTCAGTAAGCATGATTTGGGGTCTAGAATTGTTAGGGGGAAATGATGTCCTGAGTTAATCCCATACAGGCTTTGTGGACCCCACCCCCACTCCAGACTAAAGCCATCAAGACATTGGGAAAGACAAATCCCATCACCACCAAGGGAGGGTGGCTGGGACCTGAGGGTGGAGTTGGGCAGCCAGGTTGGATATAAAAACCAAACACGTGGGCCTTGGGCGCTCTCTGGCTCGCGATAGCTCGCCTCCTGGCTTCACGGCTCCTGGCTTGCAGCCAGCTCTCAGAGTGCCATTTTGGGATTCCTGATCGGCGGATTGGGTAGGACTCATTTAAAACTTTGTCTCCCAATTTTCTCCCAGAGCTGTACATTTCCTCATTTCCCCTTCCCTTGTAAATAAACCTTTTATTAACCTTTCGCGTGTGCCTGCAGTAGAGCATTGATAAGTCCTTTTAAGCGCACGGGTGAGGACCCACAGTCAGGCACCCCGTTTTGTATCGGGGTTGCTCTACAACAGAAGCATTATTTTAAAAGGGCATGATTATCTGGCACTAGAAATTAAAAAAAGAAGAGAAAAAGAGAAGCTCCCAATCAGACCTTTTGATCAGTTTTCTTATAACATTCAGATTTGGATTATATGTAAATACATCTTCTTATGGCCTGGCACACCTCCTTTGTGGACTTCACCTTTGAGGGGCTGTGGATACAATATGTGGGTGGAGTCTTAAGGAACACTAAACAGGTCCCAGAATTGCCAAAAAGGCACAGAAACTGTATGACTCTCTCCCTCCCTCTCTTTGCACTATCCCCTCAAAGGGCAGCTCAGACAGTATAGACACTAATCTGCACATAGCAGAGGTTGTCTGCCTCACATTTAGGCCAAGGTTCTAACAGCCCACTTGTCAATGAATGCCATTAGTCAGATGGGCCACAGGCACTCGGGGACCGAGCGCCAGCTACCTCAGATCGCTGAGGGAAGAGCAGACATCGGATGGTAACAACTTCAGTCATTACTGACCTGGGCTCTATTCAAACCAGTGACCTAGAAATGAAGGTCTCCAAATCCCATTACTAATTCCCCGAGCCATCAAGTCTCCCCTCTGGCCTGGATCTTGTCCTGAAACCCAGGTCTCTTGTTGAAATAGCATTAGGCAGCAGCCACTGCGTTGGCAGGCAAGGTTTTTTAAATAAAGGGGGGAAAGAGAGGAGGAAAATATGCACATATAGAGTTGGCTTTAATTATTACTTTAAGTTTTTCATCCTCTGTAAACCTAAAAACCTTAGCCTCCTTTAAAGTCAAAAGCTTGCCAGGAAGTACAAACAAACACAGCCTTCTATTTTGTCTGAATGAGGGAAATACACAGGCCCCCTCCCAATGCGAGGAATAATGAGAGGAAACCAAATGAGAGGAAGTTGTTGAAAAAGAGATTAAATGAGTATTTCGAGGACGAGAAGAATATTTACTGCCAAAGTAAGAAAAAGGAGCTAAATGCATGCACCCTTGAACAGATTCCCTCTCACTTATTATCTCTGTGTCTCGCTCTCAACCCCTCTCATCAAAGAGAGGCAATTATTTTTCAGTAAAAAAAAAAAAAAAGTAGGATTTTTGTGAGTTAGGTGAAACCCAAGCAAAGCGAGCTGGATAAAAACGGCATGTCAAGTTCCGTTTTGCCTTTTAAGCAAAAAGCTCCAGCTTTACAAATAGTCCTGTAGATGGAGCTGCACTCTGCAATTCCAAGATCTCGGCCTCAACAATGAAGCAATTGTTTCCTGTCTCCACTTAGCAATTCCTCCCTCTCTCTCGGTTCTTTCTGGTTGCATGTTCTATTTATTTTAATGTATACCTTTGTGTAAAGCCTGTCTCTGAGTGGTTAGATACCCCGTTGATATGTGGCCTTCAAGGGGGAAAAGGGAGTGCAGCCTATTCCCATGACATCCCAGGGCTTTGTAGAGCCAAAAAAACCTTCTCAGGAACACCTAATCCTTGGGCTCTGGCCAAGGCCCACAATCCTTCTGTACAACTGACATGGGCCACTTGGGACACTTGAGAGCTTTAGGTGTGTCCCTCTGAAGTCAGCCCTGGCCAAGCATGAGGCAAATGTGCCCGACCAAAGAAAATAAATTATGTGGACTCCAATTTTCAGCAGTTATGAAGTATTAAATTACACATGCGAAGAATTCACTTTGGGATTAACCCTTTGGAACTGAAACACAATCTTGTCACAGCGCTTGTAAAAAGAGCATGCTCTGTGTAAGGGCTGCTTTTCAAAGACACAGAGGTGGCCGACCAGGAAGCAGAGATGCTAAATGAAATAGATTGTAATTAAATACAAATACCTCAAACTGCTATCTGGGCAGGGGAGAGGGTATGTGTTGGGAGAGCAGCGAGGAGCATGTGTCCTGTTTCTTAGGGTATGCCGTTCTCTGTACATTGTAGGTTTCAAAGACACCATAAGAATTCACTACAAATGCCACTTTCAGAGCTTAATCAGAATGCATTTTAGCATAATTCACACAGTCTCTGTAGCTGCTTCTTCATTCAGTTTTAGAGAAGTGGTTGAAAACCACTGGAACTTGACTGAAATCATAACTACAGCACCCCTGAAAAGGCATTTGTCTTCTGTGACTCAGTGAGTAAGAGAAAGGGATATCCCCTTTCAAGAATTCCTGGTTCCCCATAACCATTTGAAGCTGTTAGTACAAGATGTGGCCGAAATTAACATACAAATGCTGCAAAAAAAAAAACAGAAAAGGAAGGAAGAAAGAAAACAAGCTTGTTTGTTTCCCCCTCTAAGCTGTTTACTTACCAAATGATCATAGAAAGCAAATCTTTAACAATAACAGGAAGAAATCAAACTTGAAGACCTTAAAGAATTTTTTTTTTCCAATAAAATGAACTTTTCAGTACAGTGTGGATCTTAAGTATGGAAAGCGGCCCTGTGTGTCTCCCTTCCTTCAGATTCATTATCAGTTTCATTATCAGAAAATGTTTAATATACAGGGAGAATTGTTTGGGGACTGGCTAACCAAGTCTACATGTATCTCCCATACTTGCCTCACATGTGACCCTGAACAAAACATAACTACACAACTATATGTCTGAACAACACTATGGAAGTCATCCATTTACTTCATTTTAACCAGTGAGGAAATAGCCTATCAGATATTCCACGACTTGCTCTCACAACTCAGCCTAGAATCCTCTCGATTTGTGATGCAATTTGTTTCCAAAACAACAAATCTCTAATTGAAGAAATACTTCTGTTTCTCTGTGCCTCCACTGTTCCTTTGTGCACAAATAATTATCTTTTCAGATACTTGGTATTTGAGATTGGCTAAAATGTAGAGATTGACTAAATTGACTCAAATGGTAAGATATGAATGTATTTGTGTTTGTACATTTGTACCTGGAAAGGGGAGGGAGGGAGGGAGAGAGAGAGATGAGAGGATAAAAGCAAGATAGAGGAAGAGATGAAGTTCCTCACATCCTATGGTTGTTGAGTGGAGTAACAAAAATAACTGTTGAGCACTGTAGAGGTAGATCACTGTGTAAATCTAAAGCAGGATAAACCAAAAATTACACATGTCATGAGACACTTATTTTCAACAGGTGGCATTTAGGAATGCAAACTATTAGCACCCAAATGAGAGCTCAACATAAAGGGGAAGAGATGTGGGGATTTACAGGCTTGTGAAATCATGGTGACTGAACAACATTGCTTCATGTTTGCAGCTTCTACACATGTACAGATTGAGAGGGATGGCTCCATTAAAGACAGGCTCGGAAAAGGTTTCTCTTACTCTTAGCGGTTATGGGATATCATAATAGAATGGAGAAATAAGGTGAGAAAATCTGCAACAAAAGTGAAAAGTCAACTGACACTGCATGTGTACAAATGAGTGCAAATCAAAAATCCAAAATGAGGGCCTCCCTGGTGCACAACGGGTGAAGCACTGCACTATGAAGCAATCCACAGCCTCTTCAGCACAAGTTTGATCCCCAGCCAGGGAGATACCCACATGGCACAGCAGACCTCTCCTGGCTTACCCGCTGCTCCCCTCTGCAGTGTATGTCAGTCTTCTGTTCTGCTCCCTACTCTGTCTCTGGTGAATCCTCTCACCCCCCACATCTCTAGCCTGCTAGCTCTTGTATGTATAAATAAATCTAAAAAAAAAAAAAATCCAAAATGAGGGAAGACAATAAAGCAATACCCAAGCCCACCTATTGCTTTGCCTGTTTCAGAGCCACACTCCTATATTCCATCAGATAAGAAACAATGTTTTGCTGTCAATCACCCTAAGTTTGATATATCACTTACAGTATAAAAGAATGCCCTAAAAACCTTTATAATTTACAGTTCTTACAATTGTCATCATCAGGCATGGAAATAAGGCTAGAAGTGGTAGGTGTATAAATAGTGCTCCTAATAAGTTCATTTGTTGTTCTCTCTGCTTATGCACATGATGCAGCAGACCTCTCCTGTCTTGCCCTCTGCGCCCCTCAGCAGTGTATTTCAGTAGCTCTGCCTGTATATTTCAGCAGCTCTCCCTACTCTGTCTCTGGTGACTCCTCTTACACCCTGCGCCTCTGGCCTACACCCCAGCTCTTGTATGCATAAATAAATAAATCTTAAAAAAAATAAAACTTATAAGAATTTTCAAAAAAGTTTTTTCTACATTTATGACTCTGAATTTTTCCCCGTGGGTTGGTATTATTAACTAATTTGATCATTTAACACCTTTCGGTGTTCATGGGATAATAGGCATTCAGGAATGTACTCTCAGTGAACAGTTAGATATGATTTTTTCCCCTCTTCCCACCTCTGTTTTTCTTTGTAAGAAATCTATTCTTACAAAATCTAAATCTAAGTGGGGAGCCTTAAAGGATACACTAATCCAGCAAGGTTTAAATGCATGATGCA